AGCCTCCAGCAGATGATCTTGAGACATATGCTCCACATGTTCCCGTCAGCGAAGCTTGTGAGCATCCAGCATAGTCTACATAGACTGTAGGTTGGTTCTCTCAAGGATCTCATTGTTAGTGATCCATTGATTCCAAGTGATTCCAAGGATTTTTCTGAGACAGCGAAGGTGGAAGCTGTTCAATCTCTGCTCCTACTTGGAGTAATGACCCAGCTTTCACAGCCATAAAGGAGGATACTGAGGATACAAGCCTGATAAATAGACACCATTACGTTCAGGGTTAGCAGCTTGTTGCTCCAGATACATGAGGTAAGTTTGCCAAAGGTGACAGCTTTGCTGATTCTCACATCAAGTTCTCTATCAAGGCTAAGAGAGCTAAGGCAAGTTCTCTATCAAGGCTAAGAGGTTAAAGTTGAGCCAAGATAGCAGAAGTGATCCACGTTGTCTAGCACTTCATTATTGACATAGATTTGAGGTGGGATGTTGGTGCCCTGTGACATGACTTCTGTTTTCTTGATACAGATTACCATGCCGAATTTGATACATGCATCAGAGAACTTATTCATCATGATCTGTAATTCATCAGATGAGTTAAGAGGCAAATGCAGCAGCATCTGTGAAGAGCAGATCCCGAACAGTGAGCTGGGTGACAAACCTTTTGATCTGAAATTGTCTGGTGTTGAACAAGCTGACGTTCATCCTCGATTCAATTAATGCTCCAGATTGAATGTTTCCAAAAGCATACTTAAGAAGAATAGAGAAAAGAATGCCAAAGCCGTTAGGCATGAAGTCACAGTCTTGCTTTATGCCAGTATCAATACTAAACTCATTGCAAACAATGCTAACCATGTTGAAGGCCTTTTGAAGGTCGACAAATGCTACATAGAAAAGTGCCTGTTGTTCACGGCTTTTTTCTTGCAACAACTGCATTGTGAAGGACATGTCAGTCATGGAGTGTCCAGCTCTGAACCCGCACTAGCTCTCAGGATAAACTCTCTCAGCAAGGACTTGAAGTATTTTCAGCAGAACCCTTGCAAGCACCTTGCTGACCACGTTAAGCAAAGATATCCCTCGGTAGTTGTTTCCCCTTTATTTTTGTATAAAGTAATTATAAAGCTCTTTCTCCTTTATTTTTGTATAAAGTAATTGTGTTTGCATGTGGCTTTCTTCTCAGAAGGCAAGGCTGGGTCCAGGCACCAGCTCAGTAAGCAGGTGCTTGGGGCGGCCAAGGGGAAGGGGCGGCACGTTGGGCTCTTCGACGGCAATTTGGCGGTGGGTCCCTCAGTCCCTCTCGGAGGGAAGGACCTGCCACCGAAGTGCCACCAAAGAAGAAAGCGCGCAGTGGAGCTACCGCCGAATTGCTGCCAATCACGATCGCGGCTTTTTTTTTTTTTTTTCTGCCGCTTGGGGCGGCAAAAACCCTGGAGCCGGCCCTGCCAGAAGGTGCAGAGAAGTGCAAGGATGTCACTCACAAGCTTTCTCCCCCCCTGCCTTTAGGAGTTCCAGAGATATCTGACCAGATATGAGTAAGGATTCCTCACATGAATAAGGATTATTCATATGTTCCACCAGCAGTGATGCACATACACAACAGGTGATATGTTATCTACACCAGTCATCTAGGGGCGAGGTTAGAAAAGGCACAAATGTTTGACAATGGAAGACATATCAGTTGAGACTTTTCAATCGAGAGGGAGATGAGCTTTATTTAAAAGGACAATCAGGTAAAGAGGCCTCATTGGGGCTACTCATATACTTATAATTAAGCACGTTTAAATATCTTCCTGAACTAAGGTCATAATTACTCAAAAATACAGGGAATGTGGAATGCAGGCCACTAGACCCGATTTCCCATCAGTGGCCATGCAGGGGACACGTTCTATCCTTAAGGTAGACCACATGCTTCTGAAACTTATTTTATGGCCCTAGTTGCAGCCCCTCTCAAAGATCTGCACAGCTCACTTGTTTAGGCACAGGTGAGCATATTATTAGTTTGTGCAAGGACCAAAGATAGAAATGTGAGCATAGTGGAAGTCTAACAACATATCTCCACCCAAAGCAACTCTGATTGTTATTGAAAATCAGTGCAAGCCACAAATAGACAATAATAAAACATGAGGTGGATCTTAGCTAAGTAATAGAAATCTCTTTTCAGTGGCTATGCACAAAAGTGATTTCTCCAAATGTGTCCATGTTCCAAATCAGGACTGCCACATGCACTGTGCTTCAACCACTCTTCTTAGAAGAAGTATAGCTGTTGTGCATTTAATCAAGTACATATCAAATTACTACCTAGAATATACTCATGTGGAAATTTATGTCTCTCTTAGGCCTGACTCTCCACAACTATAGATCAATGGGAGTTTGACTATATAGTAGCTCATACATAGAGCAGTCACCCAAAATGTGGAGGCACTAGGAAGAGGGACATATGTATTATACATGGACTTGCTCGGGTAAAGATCACAACACAGATATGAATAATCCAGAGCATACAGTTAGTTATCTAAATATGAATATACTGAAGTGAGCTGGTGCCCGCATATTGCAATGATGTTTGCTTTGTAACTGTGTGAAATAATCATAACCATGTACACTTTCCAAAGAACACATTTTTCAAAGGCCACATGAAAGTAGGTTGGGAGTTTATGTAACTAAATGTGAATTACTCTTTTGCATTAACTGTGGTGATCCCGAACTTTCAGCACAATAAATATGCTAAAAATAATTCAAGTCCCAAGTGCATTCAGGAGAGGGGAACCTAAGTGAGGTTTGTGTTTGCCAGTCTGCACAGAGACTTTGAGCCAAATATGCATGCATAAATCTAATCTTAGATATTAGTTGGACACTGTCCACATGAAGAAATGCAATTCTGGGAACACACTCCATCCCCAAAGCTACAAGAGAAGAATTCAGACAAACTCTCTGCCTTGGGTGTACACAGAGATCCATAGGCAATAGGGAAGTTTCCCTTGGATCAATTTACAAGGAGGATTTCCTCAGTGATTAGGGGTCAAAGGAAAACTGCTGGGTCTAGATTATCACAAACTGAGATGTGGAACATTAATTTCATTGCTCAAAACGCAGAACTACTGGTTTGAAAAATGACCACACATTACCAGCTGCTTTATGGAACTGAAATACACATAATACTCTATTAATATCACTGATGTTACAATGGACATAATGGAATACATAGTGGAAACAGTCTCATGTTGCATCTCTTTGTCTGTTCATTGCCTATATGGGGCCAGATTCTGCCATGCTTGCTCTACAAATCCACTGAAGTCAATGGGGGCTACTCACTGAGCAAAGGTGACACAATTTAGCACTTAAATTATAAATACTGAAATTGTCTTTTTATATGTCCGTAAAGCATCTAACACAATTTCCAGTGCTATATAAATAATAATAATATACATATGATCAGAGATTAAGATGTTACTTGCACTGACAGCAATAAATGCAGTTTAGAAAAGAGATCAGTGCCTAAGCTTGGTAGAAAACCTACTATACATGCAGAATATGGTGAAGAAAGTATCCAGACACTGTTAATCCATTAGGCAAATATTATCCCATAATGCTGCCAAGCACAGTATCAACATGAGTTGTTTGGCCTGTAACTGCCAGCTGCACAAGTTGCCAGCAACAGTATCCTTTGGTCTCTCCCCCGTCCTCTTGTTGGGGGGGGGGGGGTGCTCCATTTCATACTACAAACTCCTTCTTTATGAGCCAATTACAAAAAATGAAATTCAACCTGCTGAATCCTGATCTTAAATACTATTTGTTTAAATTACACAGTATCAGAGGGATATGTCATGTGAATCATCCTCCTGCAGCCTGTTCCATGAGTAGATTCCCCAAGGATTAAATGGACAATTGTTAATTTCTTTCTCACTGAGGATGCATATTTAAATTGAGATGTCAGAAGTATTGTACCTTCATTCATTTACTTCAGTGCAGCACGACTATGCAGGAACATTCTTTCCAAGCGTTACCCAAATACTCAATACGACTAGTACAGGGTCGTTCCATGATTTTGAGCAACCTTCACTAAGCCAGTCACACTCCTAGCAGGGGCGGGGGATTTGTGCTAGCGGCCTCACCGAATATTCATTTTGATTTAGCCCTAACAGCTCAGTGTGGAATCCCGTGCGAACGGGAAAGTCCCTAGGCCCTCCCTTTGCAGAACTGTCCCAATCAACCGAAATGAGCCGCTGCTCCGAAAATCTTTCCTGATCGCAGCGGAGAATCCTAAGCACAGCGCCTGGTGCATGCACCCAGGTGGGTCCAAATGAAGGAAGCTTTGCAGGTGACTGTCTGGGAGCTGGGATCCCCCTTTTCCAAGAAGCGTGGGAATTTCCAACTTCACAGAACCAGCGGGAGCGTCTGAGCGAGCGAATCTAGTCTGTCGGGAACGGTAAAACCCCCCTTGAGGGAGGGCGGCTGTCTGGAGAGGCAGCGGGGCGTGGGCTGTGAAATTCCTGCACATCGGAGACCAGGGGAAACCACCGGCAAGCCTGGGAGCTGCGGGCTGCAGTGGACACTGAGCAAACGAGCTGCGAAGCACACAGCTAGCTGGAGGCGGCGGGAGTTCCCTGGGGCTGCGGGGCGGAGCTTGGACAGCCAGAGGCAGGCAACAGATAGTTACCGAGTAGGAGGGCAGGGAAGGGGAGTGGAATTCCCCAGGATTCTCCCCCGCCCCAGCCTGGAAGTTAGTCCCGGGGACCCTCCCCCCCCTCTCTGCGCTTGGGCACCGGCGGATCAATAGCAGCAGCAGCCGCCGCCCGGGTGGATGTGTCAGTCTGGCGGCGGGGGCTGGCAGTCAGCACAGCCCAGCGCCAGGTGTCTGCAGCCCGGCCCCATCGCTCCGCGGGAAGAACATTGTCTGCGTCCAACAGCTGCAAGAAGCGTGCCGGTCCTGCCCGGCCGAGCCCCGCTGCTGACCCTCAGCCCGGGCGGGGAGGGAATGGACAGGGAGGGTCTGGGGCTTGCTCGGGGCTGCAGATTTCCCCAGCACGTTGTTCCCAGCGGGGGTGGGGAAGGAGCGGGCTCCTGGCCGATCGGAAGCAGCTGATTCCCCCACCCCGCGCCTGCTGGTTTTGCGGATGGAATTGAAGGCGGGGTGCTGAAGTTGCCGAAGCCTGCCTGGATCCTCCCCTCCGCCCCTCTGACAAACCATGCGGGATCTAGCGATCGAGATCGGGATACGAGTTCTGCTCTTCGGTGTCTTCGTGTAAGTACCCGGCCGAGGGAGAACTCGCTCCTGGCCCTCCCAGCTGGTGCTTCCGACCGCCCGAACTTTTCTCTGCTTCCCCTTTGAGTTACCTGGCTCTTGACTTTCTTTGGTATGGCCTCCATTGCTTTGATACATAACCCCCCCCCCCCACACACACACACACTCTCCCTCCTTTTCTCTCTCTCTCTCTCTCTCTCTCACACACACACACACTCACACACACACACACACACACACATCATTTCTAGATATGAAACCAAATCACGCTCAGTGCCGATGGCAGGTTAATGGCTTAACATGTCTGGGCTGGCGTGTTTCCTGCTAAATTCCCTCTCTGCCCCCTCGCCCGATTTAATTTTTAAAGCACAGACTGTTTTGATCAACTGCGGCAGCTGGGATTGGAATGGCACTAAGGAAACTAGGACTTGAGGAGCGGGGACTGCAGGAGTTGGACTGGGCTTGTACATGCATGCCAAGCGTCTGTCAGTTCCCCCGTCCGTCTGTCCTTCCTCCTATCTTTGTCCACCTTCTTTCTTAATAAGCTTCTGGCTTTAGCTGAATGTCGAAGGTGGGAGCGAGGGAGAGGGAGAACTGCAAATAGAAGAGTTAATCACCCCTGTCAAAATTGATGCATGCTCCTAACAACTGTTTCCTCACAGCCTTACTAGCCTGTGACTGAGATCTGTAGTTTTGTGCTTGTAATGGGGAAGCATTCCGTCTATCTGTGCACAATCGTTTCCAGCAATGTTTTCTGTTTCAGTGGCACACACCGTAGCTTTAAGCAAATTGATAACTGTTGCTATTCGCCGAGCTAAGAAAATAGGAACGCAGGATAGTAGGGACCGATGGTTCGTACCCTTTTCTTGTCACAGACGTTTTTGAAGGCACCAAAGCTGCTGCAGTGAATTTCATTTTGTCCCGAGGATAATCTTTTATAAAGAACACGAATAATGCCCAATCTATGCTGGGACAACAATGATGTGTCAAGGACCTTAAGACGATTGCTGTAAAAAAATTCCGTGTGTGTGTGTGTGTGTAATTCCAGCAGGTATAATCTTTTAGAGCAGTGTTATTTTTAATTGCATAACTAATGTATCACAGCCTTGAAACAACTAGCTAGGTGTTAGAATGTCATGTTTCTTTCAGAATCTTCAGTGTGTGCTCAACATTCCAAGGAGAGGCATTCATGAGTAAAGAGCAATATAATGTCATGATTCCTAAGAAAGACATGAATATCAAAATACTGTAGTTTAGATTGTGAATCATGTGTATATATATTTGTATAAAGAAAGCTAAGGAGTTGGAAAACTGACTTTTGAAGATTCTGAAAGAAGTACAAGTACTTCTATACCTACACTATTCCTTTAATTCTTACTCCTTGTCAAATAGTGCTACTCTAGTAGAAACAGTCATACAGTAATTTTCTTTGTTTACGTTATGCATCAAATATCAACCCAATAAAATTTAATCCTTTTTTCCCTTTATGGTAGAATCCTTCAATCTTTAGACATTTGAACAATGAAAAACTTCAGTATTTTAAATGAGTTCGTTTTAGCTGCTAAATGTTTACAGATTTGTATTCTCAAACTTTGTAATCTCTCTACGCTGCATTAGAAACTGCAGCAGTTTCTTTGATCAAATAAAGGTTACAGCCACGGGATGGAATTTTTAAAAGTCCTGTTTACTTCTTACCTCCTTAACTATGGATCTGGTTTGACACAAACACATACAGAAATAGTACAGGGTATCCATTAAGCCATGACACTGCCTTACAGCTAGTAATATTTGAATCCTTTGATTTTATTTCTATCTGGGCCTGTCATTGCTAATGAGTCATTTGCCTAATATACTTCTCGCTGACATATTCTTCAAAGCTCTTCTTTTTTATTTTTTAAATATTGTGGCAGATCTTTTATTAGAAATGCAGCGTGTTTGATAAATGTGACATCTTCATTTTGATCTAAATTCTGATACTTTTCATAGACTCATAGAAGTGTAGGGCTGGAAGGCACCTTGAAAGGTCATCAAGTCCAGACCCCTGCACTGAGGCAGGGCCAAGTAGACCTAGACCATCCCAGGGCAAATGTTTGTCCAACCTATTATTACCAACCTCCAGTGATGGAGATTCCACAACCTCCTTTGGAATCCTAGCGCAGAGCTTAAACTACCTTTATAGTTAGAAAGTTTTTCCTGCTATGTAACCTATATCTCCCTTGTTGCAGATTAAGACCATTACTTCTTGTCCTACTTTCAGCTGACATGGAGAGCAATTGATCACTGTCCTCTTTATAACAGTCCTTAATATATTTGAAGACTATCAGCCACCCTCCCCTTGAGTCTTCTTTTCTCAAGACTAAAAATTGCCTTTTTTTTTTTTTAATCTTTCCCCATAGGTCAAGTTGTCTAAACCTTTTATCATTTTTGTTTGTTCTCCTCTGGACTTTCTCTAATTTTTTCATATCTTTTCTAAAGTGTGGTGCCCAGAATTGGACAGAGTACCCCAGATAAGGCCTCCCCATGCTGAATATGGTGTGACAATTACCTCCTGTGTCTTATATATATGACAGACCTGTTAATACACCCCAGAATATTAGCTTTTTTCATAACTGCATTACATTGTTGACCCATATTTCATTTGTGATCCATTATAACCCTGAGATCCTTTTCAGCAGTACTATCACCTAGCCAGTTACTCCCTCTTCATAGCTGTGAATTTGATTTTTCCTTCCTAAGTGAAGTACTTTTCACTTGTCTTTACTGAATTTCATCTTGTTGACTTCAGACCAATTCTCTAATTGATCAAGGTCATTTTGAATTCTAATCTTGTCCTCTAACATGCTTGTAACACCTCCCAGCTTGGTATCATTTGCAAATGTTATAAGCATACTTTCCACTCCATTATCCATGACATTAATGAAAATACTGAATAGTACTGGACCCAGGACTGACACCTGTGGAACCCATTGGATACGTCCTCTCAGTTTAACATCAAATCATTAATAGCTACTCTGAGTACAGTCTTTCAATCAGTTGTATATCCACCTTATCGTAATTTTATCTAGACCACATTTCCCTAGTTTGCTGATGAGAATATCATGTGGGACTGTCAAAGCCTTACTAAGATCAAGATATATCACATATACTGCTTCCCCCCATCCACTAGGCCAGTAACCCTGTTAAAGATATAAATGATTTGTTTTTGACAAATCCATGCTGGCTATTCCTTAAAACCCGCTATTATCCTCTAGGTGCTGACAGATTTATTGTTTATTAATTTATTTGTCTCTTTTGGGTTATTGAAGATACGCTAAGTGTTCTATAATTCCCCAGGTCCTCTTTTTAAAGATAGGCATTGAGTTTGCCCTTCTCCAGTCCTCTGGGACCTCACCCATCCTCAGTGAGTTCTGAAAGATAATTGCAAACGGTTCCGAGACTGCATCAGCTAGTTCCTATTATGAATTTCATCTGGCTCTGCCAACTTGGATACATCTAATTTAGTGAAATAGTTTTTAACCTGTACTTTCCCTAGTTTGGCTTGCGTTCCTTTTCTCTTGTTATTAATTGTGTTGAGAGTCTGGTCACCATTTACTTTTCTAGTGAAGACTGAAGCAAAATTGGAGTTAAACACCTCAGTCTTCTTGATGTCATCAGTTCTTGGCTCTCCTTTCTTGCTAAATAGACAACCTACACTCTCCTTCCTCTTTCTCTTGCTCCTAATATATTTAAAGCCTTATAGCCTTTTATGTTCTGTGCATTTTGTGCTTTAGCCTTTAAGATTTTATCTTTACATGCTTATGTTACACTTTTATACTCCTCCTTAGCAATTCATCCATGTTTCCACTTTTTGAAGGATTTCTGTTTGATTTTCAGATCTTTAAAGAAGTCCTGATGGAGCCATATTGGCCTCTTATTAGTCTTCCTATCTTTCTGTCACAACTGAATAGTTGGCAGTTGTACATTTTTTACTATCTGCTTGAAAAACTGCCAGCGGTCCTGAACTCATCCCTTAACATTTTCTTCCCACAGAACACGGCACCTTACCTGCCTATTCTGAGTTTGTTAAAGTCTGCTTTTTCAAAGCCCATTCTCCTCACTCGGCTGCTCTCACTTCTTCCTTTCTTTAGAATCATGACATTTATCATTTCATGTTCACTACCAGCCAAATTGCCTTCCATCACCTTAAGACTTGCTATCCTGTTGGTCAAAATCACGTCTAAAATGGCTGTTCCCTGGTTCCTTCCTCCACTTTCTGAAATGAAAAGGTGTCCCCAGTACATTCCAAGAACATGCTGAACATTTTTTGTTTTGTTTTTTGCTATATTACTTTTCCAGCTGATGTCTGGGTAGTTAAAGTCCCCCATTGCTACCAGGTCTTGTGTTTGGATATTTCTGTTATTTGTTCTAGAAATGCCTCTTCCACTCTCCTCTTCCTGGTTTGGAGGTCTATAATAGACTCCTACCATGACGTCACCCCATTCCCCCCACTTCTGTCTTTTACCCAGTGACTTTCAACTAGTCTGCCTCTCACTTGCTTCTGGACCTCAGAACAAGTATATATATTCTTGATGTATAATGCAACACCTCCTCCCTTTTTCCTTGCCTCTCCTTTCTGAACAAGCTGTACCCCTCTATACCATTATTCCAGTCATGAGATTTATCCAACCAAGTCTCTGTAATGTCAGTTAAGTAACAATTTAGCTTATGTGTTAATGTTAATACTTACAGTTCTTCCTGTTTATTCCCCATTGTCCTTGCATTTGTGTATAGACATCTAAGATGTTGAGCAGATTTTCCTCTGATTTCATTCTTCCAGCTCCTAAGACTCTATTGTAATTTTCCATGTCCCTCCTCTGCCCCCCAACATTTTGCTTTCTGTCAAGGTCCCCTTTTTTAATGCTTATCTGTGGGCTTTCATCACCTGCCCCCTTTGATGAGTCACTGCACGAAGGTGTTCTTCCCCTTCTTGGTTCGGTGGACCTCATCTCTTCCCAGCAGAT